CGCGCGCTGCGCCGCCAGCCTGCGCGCCGTGCAGCGCTTCCACCAGGGCGTGCGCGGCTGGGACGACGTCGGCTACAGGTGGGCGGGGCCCGGCTCGGCCGGAGTGGGCGGGGCTGAGTAGCGTGATGGGCGTGGTCAGTGGGTAAGAAAGACAGCGGGAGGGGCTGAGCAGAGTGGGTTGGGTGGGTGGGGCTGGTAGGCAGAGGCGTGTGTGTGTGTGTGCGCGCGCGCGCGTGCGCGGGTGGGTGTGGCTGAATAGAGTGGTGGTGGGGTCGACGGGTGGTGGGCGTGGCCAGCAGACCAGGGTAGACTGGGCAGGTGGGGCTGGCAGCCGGTGAGGAGGGAAATGGGGGTGGTACTGGATAGGAAGGTGGGTGGGGCTGAGGAGAGTGGATGGGCGGGGCCAGCAGACTAGCGTGGAGTGGGCGTGGCAGGCAGGCAAGAGTAGACTAGGCGGTGGGGCCGGCAGCCAATGAAGGGGATCAGAGGCGGTTCTGAGTAGACACATGGGCAGGGCTGAGTAGAGTAGATCTACTTGTTTGAGCCTGCGCCGTCCTGCCCTGCACTAGTTAGCAGACAAAGACTGGGTGGTTTGGCTAGCAGACAAGAGTATGCAGGGTGGGAGAGCTGAATGGAGTGGATGAATGAAGGGCTTAAAGACTGGAGTAGGGTTGGTGGGCGGGGATGAGTCGAGTGGAAGGGCGGGTCTAGACTAGAGGAGACTGGAAGGGTAAATAAGGCCGGTGGGCGATTGTTGGCCGGGCTGAATGTAGCGGGAGGAGGAGCTTAGAGCGCACGGGCGTGGTTTAGCAGGCGGAGTGGGCGTGGTCAACGACAAGACTAGAGCTGGTGGGTGGGGCTGAGCTCAAAGTGGGCGTGGTTTAGATGAGGGGCGCGGCCTTCACTAGGTCCAGAAACAGCTAACCAGTGGAAGATTCTGGGATTGGAGGGGAAGACGCAGGACCTGTGGTGGGGTCTGGGTTTGGCATAGGACGGAGGTGGCCCGAAACAGAAAAGGGCCGTGAACTTGGCAAAAGAGATGAACCTGGGGACAAGTTCATCCGAGGATGAAGTTGAACTTGAAGATCCATTCAAGACGAGGCTGGGGACAGGTGGAAGGGGGCGTGGCCGGCGCTGATGCCGGCAGGCTGGGCCAGTCCCACCGGCGGGATCTGGGGACGTTTGGGGCTGAGCTGAACCGGGACAGGTGCGGTGGGTCAGCGCTGACCTTGGGGTGCGGGTGGCCCCAGGTGGAGGGGGCAGGACTTGGGGGCGGGGCCTCCCCCACACGCTGTGGTGCCTCCCTTCGGTCCGCTCTTGCAGTTTCGTGGTGGGATCCGATGGCTACGTGTACGAGGGCCGCGGCTGGCACTGGGTGGGCGCTCACACGCGTGGCTACAACTTCCGGGGCTTTGGCGTGGCCTTCATAGGCGATTATACGGCGAGCCTGCCCACCGCAGCCGCGCTGCGCACCGTGCGGGACGGGCTCCCCAGGTGCGCCTCGCGTGCCGGCCTCCTGCGGCCCGACTACAAGCTGCTCGGGCACCGCCAGCTCCGGCGCGGCACCGACTGCCCCGGCGACGCCCTCTTCCACTTGCTACGCACCTGGCCGCACTTCATCCAGGTGAGCTGCAGCGGCCCCCTGACCCCTTGACCCCCTGACCGGTCACTCCCGGGGGTCACACAATCTCTCCAACCCTCCTGTATGCCTTACGGCCCTCCTCCCAGCGCACCCAGGCCTGGGCCTCACCTCTGACCTCTACACAAAGGCTTTCTGGTGGGGCGTGAGGGGATCACGCGGGTAACTCTAGCGTCTCGGATATTCTCAGTGTCTGCTCGGCCCACCCTGGCCTGCATCCAGCTTTGCACCCATTCCCTCGTTTGGGGCCTGGCCCCTCCCCTTTGAGGGAGGACAGACCCAAGTCACACCCCTTCCCTCAGTCTCACGCCCGCCTCCTCTCTTCTAGACTGTAAACTAAGAGCTACCCGGAGAGTCTGTCCGAGACCCAGGAAGGCGCTACCCTGGGTGATCCTACCGCAGCCACAGACTTGCAATAAAACAACAGGAGCCACAGAATTTCTGTTCACACCTTGTCTGTGTTTGCGAGCATTTGTGTTCCTTTGGCCCAGAAGCAAAACCTGAGGCAGAAATTCCAGTCCAAGGCTTTGGTGCTGTGGCTCGGGGCTAGGGGGCGTGGCTTCACGCTAGGGGCGTGGCTCAGCGCTGGGAAGCTTGGTTCAGCGACACGGGGCGTGGCCTAGGGCTCCGAGGTGTGGCTCCCTGCTGGGGGCGTGGCTTCACGCGAGGGGGTGTGGCTCAGCCCTGGGAAGCTTGGTTCCATTCTGAGGGGTGGTTCAGGGGCGGGGCTTGGCGGTGGTGGGCGGGGCTCACTGCTCAGAGGCGTGGCTCCACGCTAGGCGTGGCTGGACGCTAAGAAGCTTGGCTTAGATCTAAGGGGCGTGGCTACGTGTGAGGGGCGTGGCCTAGTTCTGTAGGGCGGGGTTACGTGCTAGGGGGCGTGCCCAGCATGCTGGAGGCTCTGGGCTTTATCCCTAGCACCACACACACACAAATAAACAAATTTACTTTTTTCTGGCCAGGCACAGTGAGTCTGACATATAACCCCAGCTACGTAGGAGGCATTAGTAGGAGGATCCCATCCATGTCAGCCCAGGCACAAAATGTTAAACTAAAGTAAAAAGCACTGGGGGTGTGGCTCACAGGGTAGAGCACTTCCCTTGCAAGTGTGAGGCTTGAATTCAGAACCGGTACAGGGCTGGGAATGTGCTCAGTGGTAGAGCGCTTGCCTAGCATGCAGGAGGCCCTGGGTTCGATTCCTCAGTACCACATACACACAAAAAGCCGAAAGTGCTGCTGTGGCTCAAGTGGTAGAGCCCTAGCCTTGAACAGAAGCAGCCCAGGCCCTGAGGTCAAGCCCAGAAACAGCCAAACAACCAAAGAAAAAAAAACACCAAAAATACAACAACCCTAGTACTACCAGTTAACCATGACTCACACCTGTACTCCTAACAACTCAGGAGGCTGAGATCTGAGCATCACAGTTAGAAGGCAGGCTGGGCAGGAAAGTCTGTGAGACTCCAATTAACCAGCAAAAAAACAAACCAGAAGTGGAGCTATGGCTTAAGTGGTAGAGCACCAGCTTTGAACGCAAAAGCCAAGTAGGATTGCCAGACCCTTGAGTTCAAGCCCCAGTACCAACACACACACACACGTACACCAGTTTTTCAACAAGGTAAATCTATCTACACTCTGGATAGAGAGAATGAGAACTCCCCTGCTCTACCATGCGACCATTTCTCAGGGAAGACAATGGGGCTCAGAGAGAGACAGAGACACGGAGAGAAAAACTGCTGCCTCAGCCTTGTTACTAGAATCGGGCGCTGCCACCCCTCCACCCCTGCCCGCATCCTGTCCCCGACCGTCAGTGGGTCACGTGGAGTTGGGGTTCAGCGGGAGGAAGCAAAAGCAGGTACGAGGCGCTTGCAGAGTCTGGAGCTGATTGAAGGTTCAAAAAAAGCAAGTAAGAGGGGACCCCCCAGCCCCTTTCCACATGAGCTCACTGGGAGGCAGCGCTGGAACCGACAGGAGGGTAAGGTGGGGATGGCTTGTGGGCAGACACGCAGTGGAACTGCCACCTTCTCTTCCTCCTCCTGTAGGACTTCCACCCATGGACCCACCACCGCCAAGCCAGGACTCCCCCACCCAGCCAGGGGCCCCCTCTCCGCTGGCACCCTACCGCTGGCACACAGGAGGGGCCCGGGAGAAGGGGTCTGCAGGGTCCCGCTGGGGTCTCCTGGCCGGCTGGGGGAGGGCACTGAGCCACCCGGAGCCCCCGGTGAGCAGCCAGCCAGCTCGTCGCTCCCTGTTCCGTCGGGTGCTCTCCGCACCCCCCAAGGTGTCTGGAACCAGTCGCCTGCGGCTCTCCAGGACCCTGTGGGGGAGGCCTAAGAACCCATCGCCGGGGCCTGAGGCCGAGCCAGAGCCTCCAGGTACAGTGCTGCCTTACCCGGGGCTGGGCCCAGCCGGGCAGCCGGATGCTCGAGTTTCATCTTTGTCTGCCCCTAGAACATGGAGCTCTCTCTAGACACAGGAAGTTGTGGGGAGAGCACCAGCCCCACAGGAAGTGGCTGGCCCCGTTAGCCCTCTTCCTTCTTGCCACCTAAAGTGAGGTGAAGCGGGGAAGCCAGGGGAACAGGGGGTGTCTGGCCTAAGGAAAGGACAGGGAAACAACCCCCAGGAGAATGGGACTGTCCCGCCTACATTCAGTGCTCCGCACCCAGCATCTCCGTGTCTGTATTATTATTATTATATGTTTGGCCAGTCCTTCCTGAGGCTTGAACTCTGGGCCCAAGCATTGTCCCTGAGCTTTTGTGCTCAAGCTAGTGCCCTACCACTTGAGCTACCACAGCTCCACAAACAGCTTTTGGCTGGTTCATTGGAGATGAGTCTTAAGACGTTCCTGCGTGGGCTGGCTTCGAACCTGAGCTCCTCAGATCTCAGCCTCCTGAGTATCTGGGATGGCAGGCGTGAGCCACCACAAGCAGCCTGTAGTTCTGATGAGGCACCTCTTTAACCCTTTGTGTAGAATACACAGAGAGAGAGGGAGGGAGGGAGCTTTTAACAAGCAGACTCCATCCTCCGCTGCTTAAACACCTCCTCCAACTCCTTACTCCTCCACCCCCGCATTGCCCCAAATCCTGCACTATTCTCTTTTTGGGTCTTCCATTCCAGCCTCTGCTCTCTTGAGCCCTTCTAGTACTTTCTTTTCTTTTCTGGGACCTTGCTCATCTCACAGTTGTAGATGGGACTCTCTCCCAGTCACCTTCTCTGCACAACAGAAGCCAACTGGCTCAAGATCTAATTGATGCAAATTGATGCAAATTGATGCAAATTAATGTAAATTTGGGCCTTCCTTGGCCCTCTGCCCCTCACCTCCTCTTCCCCAAGGAAGAGCCCTCCCCTACCCAGAAATTCTGTGTTCTTGTCTTAAACTTAGTATGCTTTCCATAGTAGATTACCCATCTCTGCAGGGAAACAAGGGCTCTAGCCTCTGGGTTTTGTTTGTTTTGCCAGTCCTGGGGCTTGAACTCAAGGCCTGGGCACTGTCTCTGAGCTTTTGTTTTGTTTTTTGCTCAAGGCTAGCACTCTACCACTTGAGCCACAGCGCCACTGCCAGCTTTGTCTGTGTATGTGGTACTGAGGAATTGAACCCAAGGTTTTGTGCATGCTAGGTAAGCACTCTACCACTAAGCCACCTTCCCAGCCCTGTGTTTTGTACAGTTAGAATTCTGAGCTTGAAGCTCAGTTTGAGTATTAACAAACTAGGTTGTATTATGATACTGAGCAAGTCACTCTTCCTCTCTGGGCCTCAGGGTTGATTTGTTGTTTTTCAGTTGTATTTAGTTTTGATTTTTCAGTGCCAAGGATTGAACCTAGGGCCTTGTGTTGGGCTGTGTCTGTAGTTTTTTTGTTTGTTTGTTTAATGTTATCTTTTCTTGTGCAGGTTCTAGGGCTTGAGCTCAGAGCTTGGGCAATCAATGTCCCTTAGCTTTATCTCTGAAGGCTGGTGCCACAGCTCCACTTCTGGTCTTTTTGCTCGTTTATTGGATTTTTTTTTTTTTCCTGGCTGGCCTGCCTTCAAACCATGATCATCAGATCTCAGCCTCCTCAGTAGCTAGAATTAGAGATGTGAAGTGAATCATCAGCACCCAGCTCCGCTTCTTTTTTCATTTCTTTTTTTGCCAGTCCTGGGGCTTGAATTCAGGGCCTAGTCACTGTTCCTGAGCTTCTTTTGCTTCAGGGGGCACTCTACCACTTGAGCCACAGAGTCACTTCCAGTATTTTCTGTGTCTGTGGTACTGAGGAATTGAACCCAGGGCTTCATGCCTGCAAGGCAAGCGCTTTACCACTAAACCACCTTCCCAGCCCCCTGCTTCTGTTTTTTTCTCAGTCGTGGGGCCTGAACTCTGGGCCTGGGCGCTGTCCCTCAGCTCTTCAGCTCAAGGCTAGCGCTCTACCACTTGAGCCACAGCCCCACTTCCGGCTTTTCCTGCATATGTGGTGCTGAGGAATGGAACCCAGGGACTCATGCATGCAAGGCAAGCGCTCTACCACTGAGCCACCTTCCCAGCCCCCTGCTTCTATTTTTTTTTAAGTATTGTTTTGGAGACTGAATCTCATTACCATTGTCTGGGCTAACTTGAACTCTCCATCCTCCTAGCTCTATCTCCAGAGTAGCTTGGATGGCAGGAGTGAATCACTGTGCCTGGCTTTGGGCTCAGTTATAATAATCCTTTAGGGGCTGGGAAGGTGGCTCAGCAGTAGAGTGATTGTCTTGCATGCCTGAGGCCCTGGGTTCAATTCCTCAGTACCACATAAGCAGAAAAATCTGGAAGTGGCGTTGTGGCTCAAGTGGTAGAGTGCTAGCTTTGAGCTAAAAAGCTAACGGACAGCACTCAGGCCCATAGTTCAGGCCCAGGACTGACACCCCCCCCAAAAAAAAAGTATATATATATCACCAAGAGCTGATGGCTCACACCTATAATCCTAGCTACTTAGGAGGACCATGTTTAGAAGCCAACCTAGGCAGGATAGTTTATGAGTCTCTTCTCTCCAATGAACCAGTACGAAGCTAGAAGTGGAGCTGTGGTCCAAGTGGATGAATGACAGCCTTGAGTGGAATAAAAAAGGACAGTGCCCAAGTCCTGAGTTCAAGCCCCAGCACCAGCTCAATAATAATAATAATAATAATAATTAATATACCCAGTAATAAATGCTAATACCGATGCAAATATGAATATGTGTTCATATAAATGGAATTAATGTTCGTGGTAATTAATGCTAAATAATATTAATAGGTAATAAACATAACAGCCTCTTTAATAGTGGCGTTGGAAGGACTGATAGAGCCACGGGATGTGGTATGGGTAGGCCTGCAGGGTAAGGACACCCACATGAGCCTTGAAGGGAAGAGGGTGCCCCGAGCAAGAAGAAAGGGGCTCCCAGGCCCCCAACCCCACCTCCTCTTCCCAGAGGCCGAGCTGGAGCCACAGCCAGAGCCACCTGTGTCACAGATCCCCGAGGCCCCCAGCCCTGACGTGGCCGTCTGGGACATCGGAGGGTTCACCTTGCTGGATGGAAGGCTGATGCTTCTTGGGGGAGAGGACGAGGTGAGGGGGGGACTGGGAGGGGAGGGGCTGGAGGCGGAGGCAGGGGTGGGATGGGAGAGGGACTCTCTCTCCCTCTCTCCCCCCCCTCCCCACCCATGGGAGAACAGAGTCCCTGGAGGAGGCCCCGGGCTGGAAGCGGAAGCTCTGAAGGCAGTACACAAGCTTTCCTGGGGAAACTGAGGGAACCAGGTGAGTGGGAGAGGTGGGGGAGGCTGGAGGGTGTGGAATCTGTCCCAAGTGGGGCAGGACAGGAGAGGACAGATGAGGATTCCAGGCCCTGACCTTCTAACTCTGACACCACCCACAGATCGAACCCTGGGGAAGCCCAGTCTAGAAGCTTCTGGCTCCAACCACGTTCACAATGTGCGGGTAAGACAGCCACCGGGGAAGGGTGGAATGCGGGCAGAGGTAACCCAGGACTCCCTTGAGGCTCAGAGCCTCAAGGGAACTTTTGCTGTGTGATCTGGCACGGCTGCTGAGCCTCTCTGGGCCTCTGTCTCTGCTGTGTGGCACACGTCGGGCTAAGGAGAGAATTTCCCTGTCTGGGCTTGAACTCGGGGCCTTACTCTCTCACTGAGCTTTTTCTTCCCCCCCCCCAAGGCTGGTGCTCTCCCACTTGAGCCACAACTCCATTCTACCTTTTGGGTGTTTCATTGGAGATGAGAATCTCACTGACTTTCCTGCCTAGGGCTGGCTTCCCACTGCGATCCTCAAATCTCAGCCTCCTGAGGAGGCGTGAGCCACCAGTGGCGTCCAGATTTTTTTTTTTAAGTTGCTGTTAGTACAGTCTGAGTTTGGATTTGGGCTATCAACCAAACCCAAGCCAGGGGTCCCCCCTGGGAGAGGGGGCTACACAGGAGTCCTTCTGTTCTGTCTAGTTCACATTGACCTCCCCTTCCTTTAGGGGTTGCTGAAGAGAATCAAAGAGAAGAAAAAGAGCAAATTGGAACTGGGAGCCAATGCTCTCCGGGATGGGTAAGGGCCTCCAGGGGCTCCAACCTGGTCTCCCCTCCTCCTCCTCCTGCTGTGTTCTCCTGGGTGCTCTGCCCCGGGTCAGGAGGAAACAAGGGCCACAAAACCCCGCGGAGAGGAGGCAGCACTTACCTGCCGCGGGTGAGGAGGAGCTCAGCAGCAATCAGGGAAGGGTTCTTCCACGAAGACCTGAGGGGCGAATGGAAACTTGACTTAGCTAGAAATGGAGGGCGGGGGGGGGGGAAGCATGCCCACTAAAAAGGAACAGAGAGCTACAGAGGCCAAGAGGCCGCCAGGGACGGGAGGAAGACTAGAGCTCAGAAAGCCAGGCACCCATGAGGTCAAGTTTGGGAAGAATGAGAACCAAGCTGGAAAGGGCTGGAACCAACCAGAAAGAGCTGGGTCTAGCCCCAGAAAACGATGAGACCGAGGACAGCAATGTGGACTCCAGTCCTTCGTCCTCTCCCCGCGGGCTGGAGGGAGGGACGGTCGCTGGACCCCCTTGCTCTCCCCCGCTCACTCCACCCGCTGCCCCGCAGACCTCCCAGCACGCTGGGATCCAAAGAGTCGCTTTCCATGCTCTCCGAGTTGGACCTGGGAGCCGAGCGGGATGTGCGGGTGCGGCCGCTGCACCCCAGCCTCCTGGGGGAGCCTTACTGCTTCCAGGTAAGTCCTCCTGGATCCCACTCCCCGGAGTGGCTCCGCCCGACCACACACGCGTGGATCATTCACACACAACCCGCCTCCACGCGCAGGTGACGTGGGTGGGCGGGAGCCGCTGCTTCTCCTGCCGATCCGGCGCGGAGAGAGATCGATGGGTAGAGGACCTGCGCCGCCAGTTCCAGCCCAGCCAGGTCAGTGCCCCGCCCACAACCGGGACACGCCCACCAAGGCCACGCCCCTCCGGAGGCCACGCCCCGCGTGAGCCACGCCCAGCACGAGGCCGCGCCCCTCCGGAGGCCACGCCCCGCGTGAGCCACGCCCCTCCCACTCCACCCAAATCAAGTGCACCCCTTCCTTTCCATTTGCTATCATGCAAACCAGACCTGAACTATTTACACGTTGTGTGCGTGCGTGTGCGTGCGTGCGTGTGTGTGTGTGCGTGTGTGTGTGTGTGTGTCTTGGGGCTTGCAACTCAGGGGCTGGGCGCTGTCCCTGAATTCGTTTTTTTAAATTTTTGCTCCACGACTGGAGCTCTACCACGTGAGCCACAGCGCCACTTCCGGTTTTCTGGTGGTTCAGAAGAGATAAGAGTCTCACGGACTTTCCTGCCCGGGCTGGCTTTGAACCGTGATCCTCAGATCTCAGCCTCCTGAGTAGCTAGGATGACAGGCGGGAGTCCCTGGCGCCCGGCCAGCTCCACTTCTTTTTTTCTCTCTCCTGACTTTCTGGTGGTTACTTGGAGATCAGAGTCTCAGGGCCTCTTCCTGCCTGGGCTTGGCTTCCAGCTGCAATCCTCAGCTCTCACTCAGCCTTTTGAGCAGCTGGGATGACAGGCGTGAGCCTCTGAACTATTTGCCCCCAATGTCTTGCCTACCAAATAGTCTCTAAGACCTCCCCCCGCCACTCAGTCCCTTTATATCTCCCGGGAGAGTTAGGATCCTCTGGATCTCCATGACTCACCCCTGCTTCCGAAAGAGCTTCCCCCATCCCTGTCCATTCCGCCCCCAGGACAACGCGGAGCGGGAGGAGACGTGGCTGAGCGTGTGGGTGCACGAGGCGAAGGGGCTGCCGCGGGCGGCGACGGGGGCCCCCG